TCAGGCGAAGACAGTATTGTTTTACGTTTCCCCAAATAGTATTTTATGTCTACTAAAGCTTGTGAATTTAATGGCCGAAGTAGCTGCACGTCTCAGATGATTACAACGATCACGGGTCTTATCCGCACAAAACACAAATTCATGGTTTGCTCTATGGATGCAAGTCTACGCAGCGAATTGCAAAGCTTTAAATGACCAAGAACTCCACGGATGAATTATTTTAACATTATCTCTATTTGTGTGTTTCACGTGCGTTTTATTCCTGTCATTCAAATTCATCATCTTCCAAAGTAATAGTTTGTGAATGAAATTGGTTTAACGTAACTATTGGAATAGTCCTCACATGCTGTACCCATGTGAAACATCGAACGCTCATACACCTATGCTCATAGCCCCCCCACTCCCCCTCCCTCAATGTGAAAGGCATGTAGAAGCTGATAGACAGAGACTGATAGCGAAAACTTAATTCATTTGAAGTCACAGTTTGCAATAGTAACATTCACTGCTTACGTTTGTTTTATTGGTTTGTTGCTTAACGCCGCACTCGGCAATATCCCAGCTGCATGGCGACGGTGTGTGTAGGATCGAGTCTGGACCAGGCAATCCAGTGATCAACAACATGAGTGTCAGTCTACGCAAGTGGGATAAGATGACATGTGTCAACCAAGTCAGCGAGCTGACCGCCCGATCGCCTTTTACGACAAGCATGGGTTGCTGAACACCCAGATCTTCATGGGGTTCTTTGCGTTTGTGTGGTTCCACTGAATAGTGACATAGGCTACCTCGCACCCCGATCTGGCAGAGCAGTCTGGTGAAACCAGTTCGGTGAAACCAGTTTGATTATTTTACATGAAACTTCGTGTGACATTGACTAATTTCCTCCCGTCCACGTCTTGCTGTCCATGTGACTGTACATAGCTACAAAGCCGGTTTTGGGAGAAGATGGATCAAAGCAACGTGTTCACATTTCTACACACGTTGACATAGGTTATCTATTTACTTCTTTTCAACAGAAGTATCATCACTCATGCCCTGCAGAATGAGCACGAGTTGTTTACGCCGCTCCCGGCCACATTCCATCCATGTAACGGTCTGTAAATAAGGGAGTTAGGGCCAGACACTCCAGAGATTAATGTCAAGGTCACAGTTAAACTCAGGTATCACGAAACTAACCAAGTCAGCGATTTGTATCACTAGATCCACGTAGTCGACAAACATTAACTATAGGGCAGACGGAAGTGTATGCTTAAAAAATGCATTTTATTAAAGAAAATATACAAACTTTATAAAAATGTAGGGCATTTACGATTTAAAAGACAGCTGTGATACATAAATCAAATAGTGGGTGAATATGGTTTTACGTTTTACGTTTAGCAATATACCAGTAATATCACGGGTCATCGGAAATTGCTTCACACATTGTACCCACGTGGAGATTCGAGCCCGGCTTTGGGGCGTGACGAGCGAACGCTCCAACCACTTGGCTACCCCACCTCCCCGTACATTGTGGAACGTCCATCATTAAAATTTATACATACTTTGTCAAACGTCAACTACTCAAAAGTATTCACATGCAGTTAAATGTCCATAAGATTTGGTCATTCAGTTGATCTCTTTGCGACAGACACACTCATTTGACAATCATTGACACAACCCAATTCATTCACTCGAATACTTCTTTTCCACAATTACTTATGTGGTGTGATTTTCTGTCCAGTTTAGCGGTAGATGTTATGTGGCCTGACATTCTAGCGTTTATTTGACGAGAACTCCATCCACATAGGCGTTGTTACAGTCACAGCTGATTTTGTAGACGCACCTTTAGGCTCTTGTTTCTTTAATAATTTCTTCCTGTCATTAGCTTCTAATGGTTGTTTTAGTAGTGTGCACTTTCCCTTACCACAACATTATGTGGAACAAGTACAAATCTTATCAACCATGGTCCTGATCCAAAGAAACGTCCTTGGCGCTACGACATTCGTGATACAGAGTTACGACAGGTCGTAACGTTACGAACGCTTTGTGGATCGGGACCCAGGACTTCGCCGCAAGAAGAAGTTCATATCTGCTGACACAAGCCGCCAATAACAGAGACCAAGATATCTTATCCCATCTGTGCACTGGACAAATATGGCAAGTGTTCTCTGTTTGGAAGGTGTTCGTTTCGAAGTTTCAATTATCGATTTCAGTCACGTCGTACGGGGTAATAAGTATTTCATTGCATCAACAGGAAGCTATATGAGTGCTTATGCCCCATATGAGTGCTTCTGTATCATATAGGCCAAAAGATGAGTGCTTAAGCTATATGAGTGCTTATGTACCATATCGGCCAAAATATTGTCGAAAATGTGTAACATTGTGCGTTTGATGCCACTATAGATAAACTAAAGGAATATGAAAGAATCGGCCTTTCCCAAACATTATGTCATGACAGATCAACTTCAGTAATATGAAGAATCAGGCGTTCCTTAACTTAATGCCACTACAGACGAACTAAGTGAATATGAAACAATCGGATGGCCTTAACCTTTATGCCACGGCTGATTAACTAAATTAGAATGAAAGAATTGATTTTATTTTCAAATTCTTCGCCACAACATATTGACTATTGTTTTATGAAAGAGTAGGGTGGTCCTTAAAGTTATGCTATGACAGATTAACAATAGTATTATGAAAGAATTGAATGGTTCTCAGCTTCTATTAACTTACAGACAAAAACAGAGTCCTTATCATTTCCTCAGCTTACAAAAACAAACTCTGTCATAATGGGTGTAAAACATATCGCTTGGTTCTCGGCTTCTCTTAAGTTACGGACAAAAACAGAGTCCTTATCATTTCCTCAGCTTACAAAAGCACACTCTGTCATACTGGGTGTATAGAACGTCTCGTGGTTCTTGACTTCTCTTAAGTTACAGACAAAAACAGAGTCCTTATCACTTTCTCAGCTTACAAAAGCACACTCTGTCATAATGGGTGTAAAGAACATCGCGTGGTTCTCGACTTCTCTCAAGTTACAGACCAAAACAGAGTTCTTATCATTTCCTCAGCTTACAAAAGCACACTCTATCAGACTGGGTGTAAAGAACATCGCGTGGTTCTCGGCTTCTCTTAAGTTACAGACCAAAACAGAGTCCTCATCATCTCCTCAGCTTACAAAAGCACACTCTGTCATACTGGTTGTAAAGGACATCGCGTGGTTCTTGACTTCTCTTCAGTTACAGACAGAAACAGAGTCCTTATCACTTCCTTAGCTTACAAAAGCAAACTCTTTCATAATGGGTGTAAAGAACATCGCGTGGTTCTCGACTTCTCTTCAGTTACAGACCAAAACAGAGTCCTGATCATTTCCTCAGCTTATAAAAGCACACTCTGTCATAATGGGTGTAAGGAACATCGCGTGGTTCTCGGCTTCTCTTAAGTTACAGACCAAAACAGAGTCCTTATCATTTCCTCAGCTTACAAAAGCACACTCTGTCATACTGGGTGTAAAGAACATCGCGTGGTTCTCGACTTCTCTTAAGTTACAGACAAAAACAGAGTCCTCATCATCTCCTCAGCTTACAAAAGCACACACTGTCATACTGGGTGTAAAGAACATCGCGTGCCGTTCGAAAAGACAGTGACATTTACAGCTATAGAAACAGCACGAGTCCTAGGATGACATTGATAACCTGCATAAGGTGGTGCAGCCACACGGCGGTGATTGACGCCTTTCTCGACATTTAGCCTCGGGTGAACAACTGATCATCAGATAATCCTTGGTGATTAGTTACATAACACCTGCCTGGTTATAAAACTTGAACATTTGAAAATCTCAGAATTTGCTGCCATAACGATGACAAACACAACATTAGCTCATAAAATGAACTAAAACAAAAAATATTTTTAAAAAGCATTCAACTTTAAGGATAAACAAAGTTCTTGTTTACTGCAGGCAGCGATGATTCGGTGTACATTCTTACACAGCTTTCAAGCTCTCCATAGAGTCGAATGCTTATAACTGACTTGCTAACTTCTAGAATGCTGATTAAACAATTAAGAAATTGCTTTTTAAATCTACGAACAAAGAAGAAACAATGCTCCTGTGAAGCTGTTTTGGTTTCAAATGCTTCTAACATCACAATGAAAACTGACTTTCTATGTCTATAGAGTCAGTTTCGTGAAATCAAAATTGATTTACAAGTGGTTAAATGAAAATACAATAGCTTAAAACTAAACTCTAGAATGCCGATCAAACAATTAAAATTATATTACCTTCAAATCAAAGAACAAAGGGAATAAACACAATGCTCATGTTGGTTTTAAATGATTCCAACAATGAAATAAAACTTTCTATGTTTATAGGGTCAGTTTCGTGAAAACTTTGATTTACAATGGATTAAACGAAATCAAATGGCTTAAAACTAACTTCTAGAATACGATAAAAAAATTGAAAAATATTTTACGTTTAAATCTAAAGACAAAAAGGAGAAAACAATGCTCATGTTTGTTTTAAATGCTTCTAACATCACAATGAAATAGAGCTTTCTATGTCTAAAGAGTCTGTTTAGGAAAAAACCCATGATTTTAGCAAAGAAAATTGATTTACAATGGATTAACGAAATTAATGCTCATGAAAAGTTGTGTTGGTTTTAAATACGCCAAACATCACAAAGAAAAATGGTTCTCTGTCTATAGAGTCTGTTTCGTACAAAAAAACCATGATTTTAGTAAAGCAGCTTTGATTTACAATTTTGTTTTTAAACCTAAGAACAAAAGGAAAAAAAAAAAACCAATGCACATGTTGGTTTTAAATGCATTTAACACCACAATGAAATAGAGCATTCTCTGTCTGCTTCGTTAAAAAAACCCTCGATTTCAGCAAAACCATTCAGGATTCAAATAAAATCAAATGGCTTAAAACTATTAATGGATATGGATACAGAGGATAACAGAAGAGAGCTGATGAGACATTGATAAACTGAGATGGTCTGTGAAAAAGAAGAAGGAAAGCAACTTACAAACACAAGAGATGACAGCGAGGATGAGGAGGGGTGCAAGTGAGGGCCCCATGGTGCTGAGATTCCAGTCTGGATTGTTTCCTCCAGACCACGAATATATACAGCAGCTTGATGGACACCTGTCAGAAATGATAGCTCACCAGGTATGACATGCTGCCTTATAAACTCGCCTTAATGGCGAACACACTGATGTCAGGGAGGACATGCATGCTTCATGGAGAAGATTAATCACTGGCCACGGTCTAACTAGATCCCCATAAAGGCGGGTTTGCTCTGTGCAGTAAGTCGACAACAACACTTTGGTCAGCGTATATTATTGTGAATTAGTAGGTACGTGTCACCGGACCATCCGTTTGACTGTCCATGGTCATAAATAACATCCATGCTTTGGCTCTCATCCCTGTAGTTACATGTTGGAGTGACACGGTTCGGACTGGATAAACGTGTTAGATGTGGTAAAGGATTTTGATACAATTCTTGAACTCAACCGAGGCGTACTACTTTAAGTACTCACGGAAACAAAACTGGTTTTTTTGGCGTTTATTTCGTAGTTCTGAACACACCTAATGTTTGATTGATAAATATTCTATGGATGTCGTTTTTCCTAACTTTGGTTTTTAACATTTTTTGTAAAATCATCCGAAATAGATGAGTTTAAAAATCGTGTCATTTTTACCCCTTGAAATTTCATCTGAGTCAAAATGTACCTTCCTCATGCAAGCTATAAATACACATGAGATACACTCTCCATAGGTTTGCGTACATAATTTATTTTATGAAAAACGTCATATACTATTCATCCTTTATTTCTTTTATCATAATTCATATACAAAATAATTGATTAAGGGATTTTGTCATTACATTTTTCATGCCTGTACTCTTGTTGAAAGTTTTCTATATTTACGAGTTCATTCATAGCTTTGATTGTCAATTGCACAATCGCTATGGCAACGCGCGTACAAATGCATGTTCCAGTCTAAACAGTGCTGCATGTAGTTGTTACCACCCATTGTTGATTGTGACGTAAGTTATGTTTCTAAATTTGCTGATAATGTTTTGTTATTTTCACCTGTAAAATGTTATTTTGGATGATAATGAGAGGGCCAAATTAAAAGGCCTATTTGGGAAAAATATAGTTATTTAAATATTTGCTAAAACTACATTATTAATGGAGTAATAAACAAATACACACCAAAAACCATTCTATTTCTATTTCCGTGAGTACTTTAGCTTTGATACCTTCCTGCATCACAGAATCTTTTAAGCGTCTTGCTAAATTTTGTCATATCTGTACCCCCCAAACACAATGACTATTCTTTATATTTGTCATGAGAGTTTTCAAGGGTTTTATGAAAAGGATCTATGAAAGGGTTTCTTTCACACGGGCTTTCTCAAAAAGATATCGGGTGATAGTGTCCCACGACATCGTATTTCGCTTGAGATTTGTAAGGTGCACAGTTTGTTTGTTTGTTTGTTTGTTGTTTAATGCCGCACTCAGCAATATTTCAGCTGTGTGACGACAGGCTGTTAACAAATCGAGTCTGGACCAGACAATCCAGTGATCAATCAACATCAGTGGCATCGATATGCGCACTTGGGATACGATGACATGTGTCAACCAAGTCAGCAAGCCCGACAACTCGATCCTATTAGTCGCATGGGTTGCTGAAGAACAATTCTAACTCTGATCGTCACGGGTAGGTCATTACAGAACGTAGATTATTCATTATGATATATTTTGAGGTTACTCAGAATATAGCTACAGGTTTGTAAAAAATATTACCGACTCATTTAGTCACTCATTCACACAATTACATATCGGTAAACATTTTTATAAGAATGTCCCTTCAAGTTTGTAAATAATTTGAACCTCACTCACTCACTCACTCAAATTGGTATGTAATGTTATAGAATATCGATTCTTCTTTTGACCTATGTGTGTTAAAGAAAGAAAAACATAAGACTTAATTGGCGCATGCTTGATACTGTTTCCACTTTAGTCTATGTTAAACTTTATGGCACTTAGCTTATTTCCTTTAAAAAACGAGTGGTTAAAGCGTTCGCTCGTCAAGGCGAAGACCCGGGTTTCCCACATGGGCGCAATGTGTGAAGCCCATTTTTAGTGTCCCCGTCGTGATATTGCTTGGATATTGCTAAAAGTGGCGGAAAAACTAAAACCCACTCACTCACTCACTCACTCACTCACTATTTATATATTACTTTATAACACTGAAACAGTAAGGGAAGCAAATGTCTTTAACACAACCATTCTATTCTCAGCCTCCGTACTTGTTGGTCCCTGCCTGGCGTTCGGCATTAATGGGTACAACAAGGTCGGCTCGGAGTCGGTTTAATGTGTCTGAGTGGGGTATTCATGCTTCACTGCGGCATGGTACCTCAGTGAGCTAGCACTATGAAACCGAAGTCTGGGCCAGTACAAGCAGCCACGCATACACACACATGTATTCGTCATATGAACGAAATATTCTTAAGTACGACGTTAAACACCATTTCACCTCACCTCTTTTTACGCCATTTCAGAACTAATTCTTGCTCCTTCATCAGATCTTTAAACGTTTCAGAGCTTATTCTTGCTCACATGATGAAGGAGCAAGAATTAGCTCTGAAACGTCGTATAAAGAATTAAAAGAAGTTGTTAGCCATGAAAACGTGTCATGTATTCAAATGAAACATGTCTCCGTCAAAATCATCCTCTTCTCCAGCCTCCGTATCCACCTGAACGATCCGGAGTCGTGCGTTGTTCGCTAACGTAATGTGTCGGGGATGATTCATTAACCCGCTTGTTTGTAGGGTCGATTTATAAGTGTTTGCAATTTACACTGTTTTACTTGGCTTTGATAGATGCATACTGCTTAAATGTAGGTGTACATGTCATCAGCGTTGTCAGTAACAGTTTAAGAACATGTGTCGACGTCAGCCGGGAACTGGGTAGATTGATAGAAGGAGCTGGGTCATGAGTTCAACAACAGCGGTAACGCGACATCGATGAAAATAATGGACATGCAAAACAGAGAGCCGATCCACGAAACTTTCGTAGTACTATAAATGATTGAGTTACACTAAGTCGTATGAACTGTTTGAGAGGCATTCTAGAAGCTGTAAGCAAAATGAATGACAAGTCTTTTTGGATGATCAACTTCTTTATTGTGCAATAGCTACGTTTCGGTATAATTTAGATGCTTATACCAGTATGTAAAATTTCAATAAGTTTCTGATGTTAATTTTGATACATTTAAAGGGAAACATTCATGTGAAAATGATAAATAGAATTAATCACTTTTCAAACATGAGGAAAACGGTATAAGTATCTATAGTGAAACGTCCTTATCATAAAATAAAGAAGTTGATCATCCCTAAAGACTTGTCATTCCTACGATAAGTCGTAACGTTACGAACGCTTTGTGGATCGGGACAGAGATGGGCAATATGGCTTCTTATGAAAATGTCGTGTTTGAAAATATAAAACGTCAGTCCATCGAAAATCAACCGGAAGTGATGAACATGACATGAATTGATTACCGAGACTCAGTGACGACACCGGGTGTTTTCGAAACACATTAAGGTGTCTCACGGCCCAGGCTAGCTATTCTCGAAACGTTCGTAGCCCTACGAACTTCTTAAGCCCATTCTTAACACATTGGCTACGATCAAAGTTAAGAATTCTTAGGCATACGAACGTTTCGAGAATTACGGCCCTGTGATATTACACAATGGTACTTCTTTGTTCGGTAAAACAACATGTTTCAGTTTCGAGCCATTTTTAGATGCTGATGGCTGAATTTCGATGTTTTGAATATTGCTTTGACATCACATGCAATTGCCTGAGGCGTCATATTTCAGCTTTTGTCCAGCATTATCCTCCTATCCTTTCAAATACACACACTGTCACGTGCACTTGTAATAAAAGCAGGTTACAATTGTTTCTGGGAAGATACAAGTGTAACAACCTGACGACAAGTTTGAACTCAGGTATTGGTTTGAAAAGTGGAGATGTCGGAATATATATAATCTGTTTGCAGTGAAAACGTACCGATGAATTTCACTTTAAACGAAAAAGTAAATCAGATAACGTGAAATTAAGATTGCGAATCCTCATAATTTTACCTTGCCAATTGAACATTTAAATCTTAGAATTCTATTCAACTTAGGATAACAGTTGTTTAACAAACGATTCAAATAGCTAATATTGGTATTATTGTCATCACTAACATCACCCCCCTCCCTACAGCCCCACCCCAGTGTGGCATCACTAATTACTTTTACCCCGCTTTTGGCAACATTTAAGTAATATCACGTTGGGGACAACCGAAATTGGCTTCACACATTGTACCCATGTGGGAATCGAACCCGGGTCTTCGGCGACACGAACCACTTTGACCGAAACCACTAGGTTACCCCACCGTCCCTACACAAGTATCGGAACATTAACCTTGAAAAACCGTAACAGATAACACTTTGACCCAGCCGACTGTGTACATGACCACACGTGGTCGTGACAGACATGAATGTTGTTCGTGATGCCGGTGACCCGGTATATCTGACTTCAGCGTGATAGACGTACCTGCAGTTGTGACGTTGCAGCCATAAATTCAGCCTGTCCAGATGTCCTACATTTCATACCAGTAAAATATGAACACATTACATGCGTGAAACTGTTTCAGAAAAATTAATCTATTCATATTATGAAGGGGACATCGTTTACATATTAGAATAATGTTTTATCAGAATAATGTTTTTATCAGAATAATGTTTTATCAGAATAATGTTTTTATCAGAATAATGTTTTATAAGCTATATTTACTGAAATACAGCATTTTCCTCTCGGTTAGTTTCTCGATAGCATTCCTGGTTATGTAATAATTCATAAAGGTTGGTTTTATAAAATACAATATCCATAACAACCACTCTACTCTACTTTGGTTACAATAGAACGACCATTTATTAATTCCTGTTAGTGTTTCTCTTTACACATACAATAAAATGTGTCTTATTCTGTTGGAAGTATTCAATGGCAAAGTCTCGATAGTATCTGTAACTTCATCCAGATATTTGTCTCTTGTTTCGGATTAAACCTACTTTTGTTTCTCACGAGTCGATTAGATCAATAGCTAACGCTTGACGTCTTATCTTTCTGGGAGT